TCTTTTCAGTTCTTCTTCACTTTCGCTCCGCGACAGTGAAGAAGAACTGAAAAGAAGCGACCGAAAACTAAGAGCCACCCTTTTCTTAGTGAGGCGAACCGTGTTCAGATGAGGAGAACACTGCACCCTGAAGAGAGAGAAAAAGCGAAACCAGATCGGAAGAGAGGCTGCAAATAACTCCCCTACAGCTGCATTGAGAGCAGCAGAAGCAGACGTTAACAAACAAAGTAGCAGAATGTTTTTCGCGCACTCACAAGTTGGGAGGACAGCACGTTTTTTATCTCTGAACATTTCTAGTGTTCTCCCAAAAAGGACCCACCCACTTTTTTCTTCATGGAATGAGCAAAAAAGAACTGAGAAAAGAGCGAACATTTTGATGAAAAATGTCGAGCGACATTTCTTGAAAAAGGTCGTGTTGAAAAAATCGTCCAGTGAAAATGATTCTATCTCACCCAAATCACTGACTGGAAACTTCACGGGAAGTACAAAAATAACAAAAAGCTTGTCTTTTTTTGTAAGCAATTCGAAAAACCCGAAGCCCGTGCTCAATTCCCGCCGTACGTTTGTCATTGTTAGCGACGGTAACGATTCCACTTGGTTCTCGGAATGTCTTCACTAGGAACTCTTTTAACCCTCTTCCACCTGCGGCAATAACGCCGTTCCATGCGTTCCCTTGCTTTCGCTGGACCTACTCTCAATGGTCCATAGAGTGCGCTTTTCGTGAGCTTGCTTCATTTCGGAAACTGTACCTTTTCGCGTAAAAATCTGTACGCTACCTATAGTGATCAATTACGTTTTCATGTTGGGGAAGATTGAGAGCGTCCTTTTTGCACACCACGTCGGACATTGTGGCGCGGTAACCCGTCCCATCCAAGCCATCCTTCTTTCTCGCGCTTGCGCGACTTATTCTCAAAATTTATATTGATTCCATGGATCACGTAACTACGTAGTCAACGGTATGGCTTGCCGTATGATCGAATCTACTTCAGTTCAACAGGTGTTCTTTAAACGCTACGAAATTGGCGGGTCGGTGAATTTCTTGTTTTCTTCATGGCCATGTAATCGAAGAAGAGTAATATAAGTAAATAAAAACAAATACTTATAGAAAAGTCGATGTTTTTCTGACTCAATCACATCAGAATAGTGTAGATATCTCAGAAGAAAATATTGAAATTTGCTTTTTCGTGACAATTACACGTTCTCTTTATAATTTTTTAACACTATTTGCGGGTCACGCATCTCATTCGAACGCGACTACAAATGTGGGAGTAGAATGCGTGCCGCATCCGAAAAGGGATTGATCAACGACAAGTAAAGCATGAAGCAACGACTTGCTTCATGCTTTACTTATAATTTCACCGGTACACCCCCAACTCACTTCTTCGCATGAAGAATTCCTGTATCTTGCAGTAGCGGCTTTGTACCATTCGAGTTTTGCATAATTACCACTCTAAATTTACGAATATGGCTCAAGTCGGTTGCGCTCGCATACCGCTCCTTTGTCACGTGGCCAAAAAAAAGGCGCACTGTCGTCAGTGTGTCAGTGCTTATTGAGGCCATGCTTCACCTTACCATCAGGCAGGGAGGGTTTTGGTAAGATATCACAAGCTGATTAAAGGGGGTAGCACGAAAATTGGTCGTTGATTTCTGCTTTAGGCGTCACACTGATGCTGTGATCAAAGCTCTACTCTGACTTTATGCTAAAATGGCTAGTGTGTGGCAGTCAACAGCTGGGACAACCAATGTGGATGGATGAAGGAATAAGGGGTCGAAAGGATCCCTTGCCAGTCACAAAGGCGTGCTTCACGCCAACCATAGCGCCACGTCGAAGCACAGCATTTGTTCATAGTTGTCACATTTACTTTTCTCTTACACGCAACATATCGTGCCACCTCCATTCAAAGTTAAACCGTAAGGTTTGAGCTCAGGTTGAGACAAAGTGCTTCGGTCTAGCTTCAGCGCCCTTTTGGTAAGATTCAGCAACTGGAAGGGAGAAGGTTTGTTTCCATTTTATTGCATTGCTTTGCATTTTTTCCTGTCTAACCCGTGATGAAGGCCCCGCCTCTAAATTTTCTGTTTAATTGAAGTGATACTAGCCTCGTGCAACTTACCTAAAACAGGTCGTACTCGAGTTAGTAGACGCTTCATATTTTTTGACTTTCTATCCTGCAGTCCTGACTGGATTGTTCGAGATGCTTTGAAGTGCTGAGGTTACTGCCTTCACGATAAGAAGTGTCCTGCGGTAAGGTCACGCGAGAAGATGGTTGACTTGACCCTGATCGGTCGGAGCTCGACTCGGAACGGTACCTAGGAATTAGCATTTAGCTAGAATATTTTCGTAGGGTAAAAATGACTACACGAATGAAATTTTTCTGAAAAAATTAGGTTCGTCGAACAAATGCGGCAGATGAACCATCTGCTCTGTTCTGAGAGGGAGCAAAAATATAATGATACGAGTCAATAACAATACCGTGTAGGCACCAAGCACGACAACTGTTCCAGGAATACTTTACGATATACATGATTTTTCGCGAAGTAGACATAGAAATTCATAGAGTATGCCATAAGAGCGAAGATCACCTGGAAATCAGCGTATAGCTTTCCTTAAATGAAGACAAGTAATTTTTGGGTTGAAGTCTCGAAGTGCAGGTCTCAAC